TGGAACCTCTATGTGCTTTGTGGTCCAAACGTAACCAAGAAATTAGTTTTTTTCAGGAACCGCTGTCAAAAAATCATGGTTACTTGCGGTTAGTAGTCGGTTAATATCGAACCATACCCTTAAAAAGAGGTTAAATTTCAAACCCAGATGCATAGATTACTGTGAATAGATGGGAAACTCAATGGTAATATTCTGAGTCGATGTGCTGCCATCTATCAAATTGGAGTGGTACTAATATTCAATATGGCCGCTTAGCGCGGGCTTTTTGAAATTTAACTTTCTGCTAGTCGCGCAAAAATATAATGAAGAAAATCAAACAAAAAAAATAAATTGGCAAAATATTTGACTAGTTTCAAATCATAAAACAACCATATTGACTGTTTTGTGATTTGAAACTAGTCAAATATTTTGCCAATTTATTTTTTTTGTTTGATTTTCTTCATTATATTTTTGCATTCATTTCAAACTTGAAATAAAATGCAATTTATTTTATTTATTTTTTTTTATTACAGTAAATTAACGCCGCATCATATAATTTGTCTATTTAAACATGGAAATAGGTTTTTTATAACAAACTCGACATTTAAGTGCTCAAGACCAATATAACAGTTTTGCAACTTGGAGTGGCAATAAGTTTGAAAAAACTGAAGCATCATCCTTTTGGTGTCTCACAATCAAGGCGAATTTGAGGGTGGATAAAATTTGCCATATGCTTTTTGAGTCGACTTGTTAAGTTGAGGAACATTTATTCATCCAATATTGTTTTATTGATTTATTTGTACAGCACCTGTAGTTATCAAATTCTTATTCATCATCTGAGCACTGTGATAAATAAATTTAACTTTCGAGCTTAAATTAAACTTACACACGTTTGGACCTTTGAAGATTTTGGGGTGTTTTCTTGTTTGATGTCAATGGCATTGAATCAAATTTTGATATTGATGGCTAAGGCTCAAATATTTCATCGGTCTACAGGGTATTTTGAAGGGCCAACATTTTCTTTATAACAATGATCATTTAAAAACTGAAAACAAAAAGAAATTTAAATAGCAAACCAATTATTTTAACACTGAATCAAGAACAAGTTTGTAAATATTACTTACCATTGATATGCCAGAACAAGATGCATTTTTCTTAAGACACTCATTACAAATTGTATGTTTATCCTTAATATGACGACCGCATATTTAATACGTGGTATAAATTGCATCACTGCCAATATCTGGGTGTGCTTCATTGTTCGTTGCTGAAATCCATGTTCATATCTCTTGAAAACATGCTTAAAATTGGAAGGTGTTGAAAAATAAATCTAGATGAATCAAAATTCAATACACCTTCAAATGCGACAGCCATTTTAATAATTTTTCCAAGTATGAAGTTTTGTTGACAAGCTGACATGACTGACTGACATAACATTTCGATACGAGCGCCATCCCGTTAATTGGAGTGGTACTAAATTACCGTCCTCATGTTTTTCCATTTGAGTTACCAGCCCCTGCCCAGATGGCAGCTGTTTCTTCAAACGACTTTGTGACGTGATGGAGACGTTCCGTTGATTTTTATTCAATGTATTGTAACTCAGTAATTCGACATCGATTATAGGGTATCGTCCGATATAATTGGTATTTTGAGGGTGAACAATTTGTGTTATAATTAGTAATTTTTATATGTGGTTATAAATTAGTTATTCTTTATTAAGATTCAGTTGATCTGAGCAGATAATAGTATTAAATATTGTAAATAACCCGTTATAGTTATTAATCGATTTATCAGTTTGTAAATCGATTGTAGTCGATTTTGGAGAGATCGGATTTTTGCTTAGAGAAACTTATGTAGGGATGCGCAAATTTTTTAAAACATCGATGTTGACTTCAAATGATACATCGAAAACAGACTATCGATATTGTAAAAAAATCGCAAAAGAAAATATTGATTTTTCTAAATATCGATGTTTGTAAACATCGATGTTTTCCAAAAACGTTTAACAAAACGATATTAAAACCATCAATTAAAACGTGACGCCTTAACCAACAACCAAAAAACCTTGAAAAGAAAATCATCGATGTTAATTGAAAAATGGATGTTAACAAATAACATCGGATAAAAAAAAAACTCGATCTTGACTAATAACATCGGATAAAAAAAAATCGATGTTAACATCGACAATCGAAACCGAAAAATCGAAGTTTTTTAAACATCGATACATCGTGCGCATTCCTAACTTGTGTATTTTATCAAAGACAATCCAGATTTTATTCTTTTCCTATCCAAACTTGATAGAAGCAAGGTGTCAAAAAATATTCCCTGTTTTAAGTTTGTAGAATTATAAATATACATTTTTCATTATTTTGGATTGCTTACAATTTTATTTATCTAAGGTGGGGGAGGGAGTAGCTCCGCAGCATTTATGCAACATTGTAAATCTTCCAGGAGCATATAAAACCTGCATTGCCCCATGGCAAACTACATTTATATACTATCTGACATATTTTTTAACGATTCTAAAAATCGTGTCTGAATAATTTTCAACACTCATGCCATGATGCATCCTAAACTCTAATGTTATTTTATTTCTTTTAATAAACCTAAATTCGCGATTACAATTAAGCTTTATTAAATTACGGGCACTACTGACCTATCAATTATTGTTTCACGAGATTCCTACTATGCAAGAAATAGTTCTGCATAACTATCGGGATTATTTTGATTACCAGTTACAAGCTTAACCGGTCAAATAGAACACAACACAATGGCGGGTGGTGTGGTAATTAATGTAATGAATTCCCTTATGAGCATATTGTGTGCTGCGATAGGTGTAAATGAATAATGTTTGTAGATACCTTAGATAACGATCCTAGCATATTGTTTATTATCTTATAAGTCCAGCATTTTATAGTTCATTAGAATGCTTAAAAACATATAATTCAAAGTTTTTGTTTATTGCATAAAAATAGAATTTTAAGAAAGTCGCTGGTAATTTTAAAATTAAACAAACCTACAATGTAGAATTTGGTGAATATCTTTTAATTTTTATTTTTAAAATGGTACGTCTAGGGATGTTTTTAATACACTATAATGATGAGGAGCCGGCGGCCATATTCTATCAATATCATCGGTTCTCTTAGTCCTGTTTAGAGATGACATGATTTACGTGTTGGCTTCACAACAAATACGATTGTATCAATGATTAGTTTGGGAATGTGGTTTTAATGGTGTTTCTGTTTTTTATTATAAGCTAGAATCGATTGAAAATAAAATTTATTCCTCTGCGACTTCTACCGCCTCTTTTGTAAGTTTTTCTTCGGTAAATTCCGGCGTCGAATAATTCATTTTGGGGTATGAAAGTAGTCAACAGTAAAATATAAACGTTTCAAATCGCATAAGATAATTTTCTTTATCTTTATTCTGCATCCAGAAGAACATTTTAAGGGAGTAACACGAAAGTAAGTCGCATGTGCTCGGCATAATAATTACATATTCTGCATAATTTTCAGATGGGATAGCTCTATTTTTTGCTCTAATTGAAATTCCGCTTCCGGGATCTCATTTGAAAATTAATGGCCGTTATTTATCGCGACGGATCTTAATCCAATGTTTTTCAAACTTTGCTTGCCACTTCGAATACTTAACTTGTTCTTTATATTTGTTGTTTTTTTAGATTTGTACTTCTAAAGATAGATTTTTAAAGCCACTTGTCACCGGAAGTTCTTTTTTGTATTATCAGCTTCCAACGTACAGAATTTTATTAAAAAACAATTTTCCTCAAAATGTCTGAAACACACTATATTTAAAAGGTTTTCATTCGCTTCTATTTACAAATGCAAATTCATAAATTCCGCGTTACAAAGTTATCGGGAAATATAATTCATGAAATTGTATGTTTAAAATTGTGAAAAAGCAAGTATTGGGAACTCTGTAAGTCAATAATTGCATGTTGCCACATATTTTGATTTTCTTTTACTATACGGAGAATGGTCGCACTGCGCAGCTTTCTGAGTTCCTTTTACACATACGAGTACTTTGATTACTATACGGTGCAAGAGAGAGATCCGACACGCCCAACATAAGGCGCGGCCATTTTGATTCCTATGCCACAGTTTATAGCTAAAGAATCAGATCGCTCACTCTGCGTCGGCACTTTGGATCTCAATGTTTCAGTTTATACACTGTGCAACTCGGATAATACAATACATGACAACCGCCTATAATAAAACAGCAGTCTTCTGCGTATCCTGAATTTGTATCCCTGGAGTGGATGTTATTTTGGAACTTTCAACTGGTCCGAGTGAGCTAACTGATTCTTTAGCAATAAACTGTGACTTCAAAAATAATATTCACTGACAGCAGCAAGTAAAATATCAGGTGCGTTTTAATCATCCGCTTCTGCTTCCGGAATTGTCGGTTTAGTCGTTTTAACCTGTCAGATTAAAACAAGAAAACCGACAATTCCGAAGCAGAAGCGGATGATTAAAACGCACCTATTAAAAATATTGCGCCAAGATGTAGGCAACACGTAATAAGGATTCAAAATGGCGGAGTTCTCTATCTCCTTTTAAAAGGCACTCAGAAAGCTGCGCAGTGCGACCATTCTCCGTATAGTAAAAGAAAATCAAAGTATGTGACTGACACTGATAGCAGCAATCAAAATATCAGGTGCGTTTTAATCATCCACTTCTGCTTCCGGAATTGTCGGTTTAGTCGTTTTAACCTGTCATATTAAAACAAGAAAACCGACAATTCCGAAGCAGAAGCGGATGATTAAAACGCACCTATTAAAAATATTGCACCAAGATGTAGGCAACACGTAATAAGGCATCAAAATGGCGGAGTTTTCTATCTCCTTTTAAAAGGCACTCAGAAAGCTGCGCAGTGCGACCATTCTCCGTACAGTAAGAGAAAATCAAAGTATTTGTCTGAAGGGAATTAATATGTACCTTAACATGCCCACTAGATTTACAAATTAAGTCAAATGTGACAATAGAAACTCAAAACTGACAGTATGATACCAAAATTTTAGTTCAACAAAGCAAACAAGCAATATTTTGAAACAAATTACAAATTATCCAGTAGAATTCTCAATAATGGAGCCTAAAACAGAAAATAGTGCATCCCTACCTTGTGACAAGCTTCCAAAATATAGACAAAGTGTTATGACATTATGCATAAATCTAGATCCTGCATCGAAAAAACCGCATGAAGAGCAAACAACAATTTTGTGTTATAGAGCACCTTGCATCGAACCATGTCTTTCGCCTTGTTTGCCGGTGCCATGCTGTTCGGTGGATTGCCAATGTAGCTGCAATCCACCGATGATGGATGAAGAGATGATGGTTTGTCCTGAGAGAGCGGATAAGGAAAATTACATTATTCCTCAACCTTGTTGTCCTCCATGTGGGCCATGTCCTTCTTGCCCTTCCTGTCCTCCAGGCTGCCCTCCTCCTCCATGCTGCCCGCCTCCATGCTGCCCTCCTCCGTCGTGTTGCTCGCCATGCTGTGGGCCTATTCCTTGTATGCCAGTTGGATGCTGTCCTGGTGGACCATGCGGACCATGCGGACCTTGTGGACCATGCGGACCATGCGGACCATGCCCACCTAAATGTCCTTCTTGTCCTTCTTGCCCTCCACCATGTAGCCCTCCTCCATGTTGCCCAAGATTTTCGAAAATGTAGTAAAGGAGATGTTAAATTATGCTATGTTTCAAGAACTAGAACTTTGTATGGTTATGAATATACCAGCAAAAAAACATTCATAAAATAACTTTATACATAATTTAAAATCCTCTAGCTAGTACCTAAATGCTTAATTGTATTTTTTAATAGTTTAAACCTACTATGTTTCGTCAAAATTTTGTGCAAATTATACAGATGGTTCTTAGATTTTTTAATAAAATTATTTGAAAGTAACGACTTTGAAATATTTGATAACAAAGTTAAAGTTGATGACTATTAAAAGGATTATATTCAAATGCTAACAATATTTAGGTACTAGCATTTAAAATTTCTAAAATACACATTCTTAAGACTGTTGAATAGGAAATATATTATTTGCGAACGTATACAATTGTTTGTACTTAATAATATAACTGTTAGTATGAAACCAAAATTCTAATTAGAAACATTAAGAAACCAAAGCTTTAAATTTTAAAAATGTAATAGTTCTGATACTCTATATCTGTATCTATACGTCTATACCATGTGGAGGGTGGGTTACCCCCACGACACTTACGCCTCATTAGGCCCATTGTGCATCCTCCTAAGATGATAGATACCTCCTAGCTCGTGAGCCAGCCTACAGATTTAATGTAATTAACAACGTCGCCAAAAGGTGTTGCCCTTATATCAGCCGGTGTTAGCCGATACTCGCAAATCTTCTAATAAATGAGCGTCGAGTAATCGTAAAGGTTATGCTTCTTGTCCGCACCCTCTGCAAAGTGCGAAATCTGACAGCTCAATGATATGGAGATGCTTTCGTACTTGGCAATAACCAGTCAGAATGCCTGTGACTAGACGCAGATTCTGTCTAGTCATAGTCAAATATTTGTTTGCTGCAGTGTTGTCAGGATAACTTAAGAGTTCCCTGGCAACTCTGCAGTATCTTGTTTTATCCCATCTTTCTTTGAATTTCACATGGGAATGTTCTTTGATTAGGTCTGTCACTACCGAATTTGTCAGGTCAATAGAAGGTCCAGATCCAAAAAGTATTTAGTTGGTTGCTTTCTTGGCTAGTGAATTAGGAAGACATCTTTCGATGTAGCGTGACCTTTAATTCATCTTAAGGTGACCACATTGTTGATGGATACTTCGGCCAAAGCTTCGTGACAATCTAATACCAACCCTGAGTAAATTCATGGTCTGTTCAGGGTGAGTAGTGCTTGTCTGCTATCTGTACAGATGAGCATGTTCCTTACAGTGATATTATTTTTCGTTATTTCTTTTGTTGCTATGAGAATCGCCGTTAGCTCTGTTTGAACTACACTTCGTTTGGCATTCAATGCATTTCCCCATAATATTATACCATAAATAAGATAACTGTGAAATAGGAAGTGGTGCCATCAAAACAGTGTCAACGTTTACACTTTTTTTAAAATGTCTATGTAGGAATATTTGAGAACTTAGTTTTTTTACTAACTTTTTCAATGCCCACTTTAGGCCGCTGTCAAGTGTTATTCCCATAAGAGTGGCACAATTTGCGTTACCAAGTTTTTAGGTTAGTACTAAATAATAAATATTTGGTTTTTTCCTTATTAAGATTTAATTTGCTTGTAGTAAACCATTTCCCAGCCTTAGCGACTGCCATTTTACTGAAACTTTCAAGTGTCCGATATCTGAGAATTCAAAAGAATTCAAATTGAAGATAATTAATCAGTTTAACCATTCTACAATTTCTTTTGGGTTTCTTTAATTACCGAAAGGTGAGTAATCCTCTAAAATGCACTTTTGTCAAATTTCATTTAATTTGTTTCACTCATTTCTGAACAGCGAACAAAAATGTGTTTTTTTAAGAAAACTTTGAACTCTTTTCACGGACAAATGGTACATTTTGGTATATAAATAAATTGGGTCCAATCGACAAATTTTGATTTCTACTACACGTGGTAGCTCTGTGTCCCAATTTTGGGATACCCTGTATTATAAAAATAGCACATTTTGTTCCAACGATTGTTTCAGGCGATCAACCATTTTTGAGATGGTAGAACAGTGGTCGCCAACCTCTCAATGCGTTGAGCTACTTTGTTAATTTTGGAATAAACAGCGAGCTACCCACACGGAAGCCACGTAACGCAACGTAAATGAAATAATCCACAGTTAATTTATCATTATATGTATTTATTTTACTATTTAACTGGTAATACATAATACATAGGTACTAATAATAAACTAATAACAAAATAACTACTATTACTAGTACGTACTTGTTCATAGCTACATTCCTACCTACCAAACGAAGGTGTTTGAAAAATAAACACAAACTTTTATCCAGCCACAACGGCATGTCACGGAAGATTTAAAAATAGTTAATAATAACAACAAAAAAGTAACGCACTATCATGAACATAAACATTGAAAAATAAAAAAGCACGTTCAATGAGAAGGCTGACACTCAGACTTATCAATAATTTTTTTAATGTTTGCAGTATAATTTGATACAGCCATTCGAATACAATTATCCAAATGTTCATCTGTAAGTCGATTGCGATATTTGTTCTTAATAAACTTTATATTGGAAAAAGAAGATTCACACAAATAGGTTGAACTGAATAATGCTTTCACTTTCAAGGCAACACGGCATAGAACTGAATATTTGTCTTTACTTACAATAGGCCAGATACATTTGGTACTTGAGACTAACGATTTTAAGGCTAAATCAATTTGAAACTTAATTACTTCCATTTCTGTTGCAGCGATGTCTTCGCCAAAGTTCTGCATAACACAAGTTGCAAACTGTTGGATATCAATTTCCATAAAGGGTGAAACAACAAACTGCGCTACTAAAGCCATTTCGTTGAAATCCTTAAAACGATTTTTGAAGTTATTCTTCAGGGTAGAAACTATTTCTACATGATATTTGCTGTCATAGGGTTCTAATGGATTTTGAGATAGTTTTTCTGAAAGAATAGGAAAATGCTTGGCATCGCTGTTAATTAGGTTTTGTTCCCAAAACTCCAACTTTTTGTTAAATGCTTTTATATCAGAAATCATTTTCGCTAGTTCTTTGTCTCTCCCCTGAAGCTGCAAATTAAGTTCGTTTAATTTCTATGTAATGTTCACGAGAAAACCAAAATCTCTAAGCCAGATTGAATTTTCTAGTTCCGGAGTCGGTTCATCGCGTTGTTTGAAAAATTGAACTATGCCAGATAGGACATCATTAAAACGATTCAGCACCCGTCCTCTACTTAACCATCGGACTTCAGAGTGAAGGAGTAGGTCCCTGTATTGACAGTCAACTTCATCGGCCAAGGTTTTGAATAATCTTCTTTTATTGAGCTTGAGCTCTAATCTTGTTCACAATTTTTACCACCAGTTTCATAACGTTGTTTAGTTTCAGGAAATTTCCACATAATGCTTGCTGATGGATAATGCAGTGGTAACAGAGAAATTGCGGAAAAGTTTCATCTTTACGACATAACGCCACCAGACCCTTATCACAACCCACCATAGCTGGAGCGCCATCGGTTGTCAAACCTACCATTTTCGATATTGGAATTTTCTCGGAAGAAATAATATTTTTTAAATGAGAAAACAACTCCTGTCCAGTAGTGTATCCTTTCAGTGGAATAAACTTCAAAAGATCTTCTTTAATCGTAAAATCACTAAAACCATCCTGACGAACACGGCCATCTGGGCAGTGTCAACGACATCTGTTGATTCATCCAGTTGAAGTGAAAGTCAGTTCTAAACTGTAAAAAAATATCATTGCTCATTACTTCTACACTTCTCATCACTGTATTAGCAGAAAGTTGCATAGATTTTATAGCTGAAACTATCTCGTCTTTATTTCTAAAGTTGGCAAATAACGAATCAGCAGCTTCTAAAAACGCCTGTTTTATCATTTCCCCGTCTTCATAAGGTTTCTTTTTTTGTGCAATTATCTGGGACACACGGTACGATGCTTCAGTTGCAGCCTTATTTTTGTCGACTGTTCTTAAAAATATTGATTGTTGTCCAATTAACTGCTTTTTTAACTGTTTCAGTTTCTCCTTTCTGGCGGCAGAATGTAGTGGGAATGATTTTTCAAAATTGGAATGTACAGTTTTATGATGTCTCTCAATATTTTCTTTTTTAGCAACGGAGACCGAAGTATTACATAACAAACACACATTTTTATCTTTAACTTATGTAAAAAAGTATTGTTCTTCCCATTAACTTCTTACAACTGCTTGCCATAATATTATTTTTTGTTGTTCTCTACTAACCCAACCGCTGGACGTTGGTTACGCGTTCAGTTTTAAACTAAGCACAATGTCGCCGTGCCGTGCGTATTTATCCCGTTCAAAGCAATCCTGATCGTTCTCGAACACTAACGGGCTGGTCCGGCTGGTCGGTTCTAGCCGATTCTAGCTTGATGGCGTCAGCGGCAGATCGTTCACCGCAACGTTGCCGCTGTTTATGTTTAATATTATGACAATTAGATTTTTTTGTGGAATTTTCGGAAGCTTCTCTGATTTTTGCAGTTTGTATTTTTTAAATTAAAATCGTTGTGAGAGCTACTAGAATTGCCTCCGCGAGCTACCGGTAGCTCGCGATCGACAGGTTGCGACCACTGTGGTAGAGGGTTCTACAAAATGTCATATGTTTTTTAATATACAATGACATAACCTTACTTTACCCTATTTTATATTTATAAAGTGTAGATAAACCGTTTTGTATCAAAATAAGGTAAATATGTAATCATATATCACACTGTAAGAGAGCATAAGAGTCTCTCCAATTGTTTGCCTCGGTTTTCCATTATTTTCCTTATTGTAATCAAAGAAGAAGACAAAGTTTACTTTAGAGGTTTCTCTAACCCAACTCCAAAACCAAGATTTATTGTTACAGATTCATATGTTGATTTATGTGTGTGTGTTACCGCATTTAAGATGCTTCTCCGCGGAACGGGAAGTTTTCCAGAAGGAAGTATATTTTTTTAGCGCAAGAAGGTTTTTACAGCAGTGTGAAAACATGTCAATTTCGGAATAAATGGATCGGGAAAATTTTAACCCGAAGAGCGTTTGTTCAAATAAAACCAAAATTTTTCGGAATTTTTAGAAGGGATATGGTTCATTAGTAATTTATAATGCAGAAACAATAATAGAGCAAATATGAGAAGGACTGTAACTCGCAATTTTGAATTAAAATGAAGTGCTGTCAACTTATATTTATTTGACTATTATTTTACGTTCTTAATTCCTTTAATTATTTCTATGGTCTTAAATTTTAATTACTTTGTTTTGTTTAATTTACAACTGATGTGTATTCTAACCTTTCTTAT